GTTTCTGGACATTGATTGTGGTAGTACCCTTGCTGTCTATGGGAGGGTCAGAGAGCTCTCAGAATGCATCAAAAATATCTTAAATTGTGTTCCGAAGATGAACGGAGGTCTTACGCGGTTGGAACGACATGAGGGGGAGTAATTAATGACAGAATTTTCATTTTTGGGTGAACTAACCCTTTAACCCTCTCGGCCTCTTTTGTCACATCTGACTGAAAAACAATACATTTTTATTTTTTTTTGCTTCATCAGAATGAGATGAGACTTGGTGACTTGTCATACACTGAAAAAAAGAAATGATTCATTGAATTTACTCAATTTGTTTAAGGTAAGTGGTTGTAATCAATTTATTTTAGCTACATTGAAATAAACAAATTTAGTTGACTAACTTTCAACATTTTTTTATTTAAATGTAGCTAAAATAAATTGTTTGCAACCACTTACCTTAAAAAGTATCATTTTTTTCAATCAAAAATATCTTAAATTGTGTTCTGAAGATGAACGGAGGTCTTACGCGTTTGGAACAACATGAGGGTGAGTAATTAATGACAGAATTTTCATTTTTGGGTGAACTAACCCTTTAACCCTCTTTTGTCACATCTGACTGAAAAACAATACATTTTTATTTTTTTTTGCTTCATCAGAATGAGATGAGACTTGGTGACTTGTCATACACTGAAAAAAAGAAATGATTCATTGAATTTACTCAATTTGTTTAAGGTAAGTGGTTGCAATCAATTTATTTTAGCTACATTGAAATAAACAAATTTAGTTGACTAACTTTCAAAAAAATTTTATTTAAATGTAGCTAAAATAAATTGTTTGCAACCACTTACCTTAAAAAGTATCATTTTTTTCAGTATATTAGCTATGTGAACACGCAAAAATAAATAACTAAATGCATAAAACATGAACCTGATTTGGACATGTTAAAGTGTTGAAAAATAAAAAGTAACACTTGGTACCGTCATGGCCAAAAATACACAGAAATTCTAAAAAATATATATTTTTTAAATTATGGAAAAAAGAAAAAAGCTAATAAAATGTATATAAATATTGTGTAGTATCACCCCCCCCCCCCCCCCCCCCCCGCACCACCAACACCAAAAATAAAAAAATAAAAAACTAAAAAAAACATGTATAAATATTGCATAAAAGCATAACCCCCCCCCCCCCCCCCCCAAATTCTAAATAATAATAAGCAAAAATTATTATTGAACAAAAATATACTAGATTGATTTTCCTGATGAAAAAGGTGTTACATTTCAAGGCTTTGGTCACTTTTGACCATGAAGGTACCAAGTATAACCCACAAATGAAGGGGCTCAGAGGACTGATTAGTGTTCAAAGTCTGAATTCTAAATACATATTAGATTTTAATTGACTGCATTAAATTAATTAAGTGGCCTTGATTAATTGAGTGTACCTGTGACTGAGACAAAACCTGACAAGTATTTAAACATGACGTGAGACTACTTGTCTATCTAAATTTTGTAAAAGTATGAAATGTAGATAACAGACAAATCTTTTTAAGATTAATTCTAATATAAAATACTGAAATCCTGAGGGGGGGGGGGCAAGTATTATGACTGTTTTACATTCTTGTAAATATGCAGGTTTTAAATGGAAGCAATCTTAGATAAAAATGAAGAGTTCCCATTTGAAAATAGAGCACCTATGTTGAGTACATCACTGATCTAGTCATTGAAATGACATGTGCAAACATCAGACATGTCCTAAAGACTCTGTAAATCTGGCGCTTTGTGTCCGATAACAAGTCACATGGAACACAGCCTCTGATCAGAGGAGTTTCATACCTCCCAGATACACAAACTAACTAATCTCACACCCCACTGATCAAATCAAAAATAACAGCCCGGAGCACTGAATCTATGACGAACATAACAGATTAACCCAACACAGCCTTGCAGCTAGTCAGTTATGTAAAAAAATAATATACTAAATTGTAATCTACTAATCTATTATGGAAATTCTAATATTCCAGAACAATATTGAAATTCACAGGGAACATGCTCATGTAAGGCACTGACGAGTTTGTCCTCTTATGCAAACTAAAATCGCCCCCAACTGTTTGAAGGTTCATGTCGGCTTCATTACTTCTCTGCGTTTCATCTTTGCTGGTTTGGTTTGGCGCTCCATTAAAGCATGAAAAAGATCTCTTTAAACAATAGTCTGAATAGAAAATGCATTTCTGAAATGACATGTTAGCAGGAGTTTGATTAAATTACAGATGCGTTTTAGCACTTAAAGGGCACTAGGAAGAAGTGGAGGAAGAAGTAGCCAGCGAGGCTGAACCATCTTACATTTCAGAAAAAAATAAATGATAAATCAATGTTCTCACAGAATCTGGGAACATGTGGATGGTTGGAGGCTATGAAGAAGGCCACTCAGTATAGCAACTGCATCTCAGCGAAAGAATGATGAGAATCATAAAACACTCACTGTGCTGCCAATCTGCAGAGACTGTAGCGAGTTATTAAACCTTGTTACAAGTCAAGCTCTACACAACCGCTCTCAAATTAGTTACAGACACACGCAAGGCATTCAGACGCTCGCAAATGTGATAGGACCCACTTGCTTTTGCAGTTGAGAACTCTCTCCGTTTGGAAGTTCTGTTTGATGTGCAAAACTGGCTCTTGAGAATATTTAACACCAATATTAGGGTCATGAGACACAAAGAGTATAACTCCTTTAGAGTCCCTGATGATAAAGGAATTTCTTCAACATGAGCACCGGAGATCATGCAAAGCAGAACTGCTGTCAAAACACAGATCCTGTTCCAGCAACAAATACTTATATTATGTCATTATGAATCAACGCATTTACATAACCACAACAGTGCATTTGAATTATGGGTAGAGTTTCAGACAGTTCAAAGGACACAGATCAAAGGACATGTAGCTTTCCTTTGAAACATAAGTTTGCATATACAAACAACAGTGAAATATCTCTAAGCTCTGATATATGCTGATAGTTGGTGAGCAGTAACCCAGCCTATATGCCATATTTTAAAATGAAATAATGTAATATGCTAGCTCTAGAATGGGGACCCTGTTTGGAGCAACATTTTTCAAACAACATCATCTTTAAAATACTTTTAAAAAATGTAATCAGTTGAGTCACCAAGCTTGTGAGTTTATCTGACACCACACTCTAAAAAATGCTGGGTTAAATACAACCCAGTGCTGGGTAAAATAGGGACAAACCCAGCAATTGGGTTGTTTTGACCCAGCGGTCGGGTTACTACCCAGAAGGTTGGGTTAAACATTTAACTCAACCGCTGGGTCAAAACAACCCAATTGCTGGCTTTGTCGATATTATACCCAGCACTGGGTTGTATTTAACCCAGCATTTTTTTAGAGTGCATTATCCCCCTTAATATGATGATGTCAAATGTTATAGATGCAATACATGCAATACTGGGGCTGTTACACTCTAAAAAATGCTGGGTTGTTTCAACCCAATGTTGGGTCAAATATAGACTAACCCAACAGTTGGGTTGAAACAACCCAGCATTTTTTTAGAGTGTAGGTGATTACAGTATATGCAAATGTTTTGAAAATGCCATTATATACTAGTTCTTTGGAACTATATCTACACAAATGGTTTCAATACTTTGCAATAAGGGCCAATATGCTAACATTAGTGAAGTATAGTGAACATGAACTAACAATTAAAATACTTCTAAAGCAGAGCTTTTATTCTTAGTTTATGTTAATTACAACATATTAAAACCAAATGTATCTGTTAATAGTATTTAATGAACCCAAGCTGACATGAACAAAAAATGAACAGTTGTATTTTTAATAACTAACATTAACAAAGATTAATAAATACTGTAACAAACATAATGCTCATTGCTGGATAATATCTTAATAACTTACTACAGTACTAAATAACGTTAACTAATAGGATCTTATTGTGAAGTATTACCAAAACCTTAACTTAATTTACAGCAAAATGACATGACAAGGTCTAAAAAAATTCATTATTTGTATGTAATGTATTTAATGTATCAGTAAAAAAAAATACTATGGAATTATTTTTATTCCATTTGCTTTGTAAATCAAAAGTAATACAAATCTAACATGCTAGATGGATGTAACACATGTGGGTAGTTGACAGAACATGTCAGTTACAGCAGTGTCCTGCAGTGTGACTTGCGATATACTCCATCTAAAACATCTAAATCATTTTTTTTTGTAGGCTATAAATATTATGCATACAGTTGTAATAACTACAGTAAAGAAAATGGTGGTAAAATGAAGAACGTATTACAATTTAAAGCATCTAAAATATGTACCCTAGCCATTTTTTATGCTTTTATGGGTTAAATGCTGATTTTCTCTGCAAATCAAAAACCAGACGCATAAGTTAACGGTGCAACATAGCAATAACGTTAACTAATAGGATCTTATTGTGAAGTATTACCAAAACCTTAACTTAATTTACAGCAAAATGACATGACAAGGTCTAAAAAAATTCATTATTTGTATGTAATGTATTTAATGTATCAGTAAAAAAAAATACTATGGAATTATTTTTATTCCATTTGCTTTGTAAATCAAAAGTAATACAAATCTAACATGCTAGATGGATGTAACACATGTGGGTAGTTGACAGAACATGTCAGTTACAGCAGTGTCCTGCAGTGTGACTTGCGATATACTCCATCTAAAACATCTAAATCATTTTTTTTTGTAGGCTATAAATATTATGCATACAGTTGTAATAACTACAGTAAAGAAAATGGTGGTAAAATGAAGAACGTATTACAATTTAAAGCATCTAAAATATGTACCCTAGCAATTTTTTATGCTTTTATGGGTTAAATGCTGATTTTCTCTGCAAATCAAAAACCAGACGCATAAGTTAACGGTGCAACATAAGAGACACATGAACTCCGCAGAGGCTGACTCCAATTCACTTTGCTCCTAAAACGTCTGGCGGCATGATAAACTTGTATACTGACGGCTTACCTGGCTGTAAGGTCTTCTCAGCAGCGTTGAACGGAGCAGGGCAGAAACTATGGAATCACTTGCACCGCACGCACCCGTTCGCATTCAAATGCTCTGTGTGTCTCTTCTGTGGTAATCGGTCGAAGAACGGAGCGCCTGGGGGCGCACACAATGAACACGTCTGCGAATGATTGTCTGGGTGATTATTTGCTCAGTGATCAGCGTGCTTTTCCATGCCTCGCTGAGTTTTCCTATCCCAGTTATTCCCGATCACAGCTGCCGCAGAATCCGCACGCGCTGCCTTTTACATCGTCGCGCGCTCAGAGCGCACGGACAGCGCGGCCGCATAGTACCTGCTACTCGCCTCCTCCTATTCACAGGCGGTGAATCAGGTCAGAGAGGAGGCGTCCTGTTTTTTTATAACGTTGTCAAGAGACCTGTTTGTCTCTTCTCTCCTCGCGTATCCGGCGCGTGTCTCACATCCCTGCGGTTCACAGCAACAGCCGCGCGTCAGATCGCGCTCCGCACAGCCCAACAGCACTGCCTACAGTTCTGCACAGACACAGCACGACACCAATAATTAAATAAATAAACCGAGATGATATGAATAAACGCGACTGCTCGAACAGTACATTCTGCTCTCTTTTGAAAGAACACTTTGGCACGAAATTAAAAAAAATTTTTTTGTTGCCACAAATCAGTGGCCTATAGAGGAGCCAGGAAGGCAATCTGTTTTTGTTCTGATATAAAAAAAAATCCATCACATTAATTGATGTAATAATAATTTTTAGACAAAGTTACGGTGCAGTCTGCATTTTAGTACATATGGACGAATGTACTGTTACTTCCTCTACAGTCAAAAATTTGGGTGTGACAGCAACTTGTCTTTTAAAAATATTTCCCATGTTACAAAAACAGCATTCTTCCATCTAAACACTGCCAAGCTACAGAACATGTTACCTGTTTCTGATGCAGAAAAGCTAGTTCATGCATTCATGACCTCTAGACTGGACTATTGTAATGCACTGCTAGCTGGTCAAGAAAATATGATAATATTACCCCAATCTTACAGTCTCTAAACTGGCTACCTATTAAGTTCCATATCAGTTACAAAATATTACTACTTACCTTAATGGTTTAGCTCCTGCGTACCTAATCTATCACACTACAATCCATCCCGCTCCCTAAGGTCGCAAAACTCTGGACTTCTGATAGATAGCAAAGTCCACTAAAGGAGGTAGAATTTTTTCGCATTTGGCTCCCAAACTCTGGAATAGCCTTCCTGATAACATTCGGGGTTCAGACACACGCTCCCTGTTCAAATCTAGACTAAAGACACATCTCTTTAGCCAAGCATTCACATAATGTATATTGCTTCACGATGCCATAGAAGAACCTTTTTTGTCTAAATGTTTCCATAAAGAACCTTTAACACCTGAAGAACCTTTCTGTTTCACAAAAGGTTCTTTGTGGCGAAAGAAGGTTCTTCAGATTATAAAAAGGTAAGAAAGAGATGGTCCTTTAAAGATCCTTTGACTGAATGGTTCTTTGTGGAACCAAAAATGGCTCTTCTATGGCATCGCTGTGAAGAACGTTTTAAGCACCTTTATTTTTAAGAGTGTATCTCGTAAACTTGTACTTCAGTTATATCTGATCAAACGCACATTATCATTCTTTTGCTTGGAAAAGCAGCTACACAAATTTTTCTCTATTTGCTTTTCTGTTTCTGCCACGGGATTGGTAAATTACACAAGATTCAGTCTGCATCCAACCCTTACAAAGATCTGAGATGACTGAACCCCTGAGAAGAGATGATACCGACCCCTCAGAGGACCTCAGATCATTGCCAACTCTGAAACAACATACAAAACTACCTAATTTTGCTGTAAGTTGATTGTAACATAATCATTGTTGTTAATAGTGTTCACCATCTGTTTGATTACATGACATTAACTAACTGCATGATTTTTACTGTACATTTCTGTCATATGGACATCAACTTGACAGTCACCACTGATAAGCTACTACTAAATATAATGTAGAAGCTTTAATTTTCTGTAAAGCTGCTTTGCAACGATTTGTATCATGAAAAGCCCTATACAAATAAACGTGAACTGAACTGAATTGAGTTTTTTCTATAGGCACTATATGAAGTCATACAGTAGTTTTAGGTCATTAATTTAATTGCACAGTTTCTACTTTGGTGCGTTACAATTGTGCGTTACACCAATAATTAAATAAATAAACCGAGATGATATGAATAAACGCGACTGCTCGAACAGTACATTCTGCTCTCTTTTGAAAGAACACTTTGGCACGAAATTAAAAAAAATTTTTTTTGCCACAAATCAGTGGCCTATAGAGGAGCCAGGAAGGCAATCTGTTTTTGTTCTGATATAAAAAAAAATCCATCACATTAATTGATGTAATAATAATTTTTAGACAAAGTTACGGTGCAGTCTGCATTTTAGTACATATGGACGAATGTACTGTTACTTCCTCTACAGTCAAAAATTTGGGTGTGACAGCAACTTGTCTTTTAAAAATATTTCCCATGTTACAAAAACAGCATTCTTCCATCTAAACACTGCCAAGCTACAGAACATGTTACCTGTTTCTGATGCAGAAAAGCTAGTTCATGCATTCATGACCTCTAGACTGGACTATTGTAATGCACTGCTAGCTGGTCAAGAAAATATGATAATATTACCCCAATCTTACAGTCTCTAAACTGGCTACCTATTAAGTTCCATATCAGTTACAAAATATTACTACTTACCTTAATGGTTTAGCTCCTGCGTACCTAATCTATCACACTACAATCCATCCCGCTCCCTAAGGTCGCAAAACTCTGGACTTCTGATAGATAGCAAAGTCCACTAAAGGAGGTAGAATTTTTTCGCATTTGGCTCCCAAACTCTGGAATAGCCTTCCTGATAACATTCGGGGTTCAGACACACGCTCCCTGTTCAAATCTAGACTAAAGACACATCTCTTTAGCCAAGCATTCACATAATGTATATTGCTTCACGATGCCATAGAAGAACCTTTTTTGTCTAAATGTTTCCATAAAGAACCTTTAACACCTGAAGAACCTTTCTGTTTCACAAAAGGTTCTTTGTGGCGAAAGAAGGTTCTTCAGATTATAAAAAGGTAAGAAAGAGATGGTCCTTTAAAGATCCTTTGACTGAATGGTTCTTTGTGGAACCAAAAATGGCTCTTCTATGGCATCGCTGTGAAGAACGTTTTAAGCACCTTTATTTTTAAGAGTGTATCTCGTAAACTTGTACTTCAGTTATATCTGATCAAACGCACATTATCATTCTTTTGCTTGGAAAAGCAGCTACACAAATTTTTCTCTATTTGCTTTTCTGTTTCTGCCACGGGATTGGTAAATTACACAAGATTCAGTCTGCATCCAACCCTTACAAAGATCTGAGATGACTGAACCCCTGAGAAGAGATGATACCGACCCCTCAGAGGACCTCAGATCATTGCCAACTCTGAAACAACATACAAAACTACCTAATTTTGCTGTAAGTTGATTGTAACATAATCATTGTTGTTAATAGTGTTCACCATCTGTTTGATTACATGACATTAACTAACTGCATGATTTTTACTGTACATTTCTGTCATATGGACATCAACTTGACAGTCACCACTGATAAGCTACTACTAAATATAATGTAGAAGCTTTAATTTTCTGTAAAGCTGCTTTGCAACGATTTGTATCATGAAAAGCCCTATACAAATAAACGTGAACTGAACTGAATTGAGTTTTTTCTATAGGCACTATATGAAGTCATACAGTAGTTTTAGGTCATTAATTTAATTGCACAGTTTCTACTTTGGTGCGTTACAATTGTGCGTTACATGTATGGTTAATGTAGTCTATACACAGAGTTGGGTATAACTGATTACATGCAATCTGGATTACGTAATCAGATTCCAAAAATTAAGTACCTACTTGTAATTAGATTAAATTACACTTTAAAATACTCATAATCAGACTACAGTTACTTTTTTAATTGATTACATGATTACATATTATTCACACAATAGCACTAAATTATTCATAATTTATCGATTCTCCCTAATTCCTGTTTTTTCATTTTTTTAAATGTTCCTTTTTAAAATAGCCTACCACTTCTATAGACGAAGAAAGTCTTCCAGTTTTGTGGAGATTCACACAAAGATCAGTCACTAGTCAGGTGGCTACACAGCATTTGACCACTGGATTTACAAAAATCTTATCAGGTTTTTCAACATTGCATCAACTACTGATGAGCACATTAATGTTTGTTTGAATTATCACTCAGTAACCATCTATTGCAATGTCTTTGGAAGGTTTTTGTCTATCAAACACATTAAAATGCACACATTCACATTATTCCTTGTTTACATGTAATGCGGGCATTCCCAAAAATTGTTGTCATCTGAACGTCTCGGTTACGTATGTAACCCTCGTTCCCTGAAGGAGGGAACGGAGACGTCACGTTGGAGGACCGACGAATTGGGATCTCGCTTAGAGGGACCAATCTACTTAGAGTTTAATTAAACGAGCCAATGCACATTGGCATGCGATTATTGCATCCAGCTGCTGCTGATCACAGCGTGAGTATAAGTAGGCAGCAGATGCTGCGCATATTCAGGTTTTCGCGGAGGAGCCGAGCCGGTGACCCGGCCGCTCGGGGTTCAGACACACGCTCCCTGTTCAAATCTAGACTAAAGACACATCTCTTTAGCCAAGCATTCACATAATGTATATTGCTTCACGATGCCATAGAAGAACCTTTTTTGTCTAAATGTTTCCATAAAGAACCTTTAACACCTGAAGAACCTTTCTGTTTCACAAAAGGTTCTTTGTGGCGAAAGAAGGTTCTTCAGATTATAAAAAGGTAAGAAAGAGATGGTCCTTTAAAGATCCTTTGACTGAATGGTTCTTTGTGGAACCAAAAATGGCTCTTCTATGGCATCGCTGTGAAGAACGTTTTAAGCACCTTTATTTTTAAGAGTGTATCTCGTAAACTTGTACTTCAGTTATATCTGATCAAACGCACATTATCATTCTTTTGCTTGGAAAAGCAGCTACACAAATTTTTCTCTATTTGCTTTTCTGTTTCTGCCACGGGATTGGTAAATTACACAAGATTCAGTCTGCATCCAACCCTTACAAAGATCTGAGATGACTGAACCCCTGAGAAGAGATGATACCGACCCCTCAGAGGACCTCAGATCATTGCCAACTCTGAAACAACATACAAAACTACCTAATTTTGCTGTAAGTTGATTGTAACATAATCATTGTTGTTAATAGTGTTCACCATCTGTTTGATTACATGACATTAACTAACTGCATGATTTTTACTGTACATTTCTGTCATATGGACATCAACTTGACAGTCACCACTGATAAGCTACTACTAAATATAATGTAGAAGCTTTAATTTTCTGTAAAGCTGCTTTGCAACGATTTGTATCATGAAAAGCCCTATACAAATAAACGTGAACTGAACTGAATT